TAAACTGTAATTTTTTGAAAACCTGAATAAAACATATACACATGAAAATATAGTTATATGTGAGTATATATGTGTATAATTATCAGAAATACTTCAATATTTTCACAAGGTACTTATAAAGGAAAAAATTTGGTATACAAAAGCAAAATCAAATGGGATAAAAGAATTCATCCTTCTCCAGTAGTGGTTTCAATTATACAGAAATGCTAAATTACCAAAGTTAGGGTTGAAAAAAACCTGAGTAAAATAAATACTAGATAAGGAAATGTGAATGAAAATAACTTTCAGAATTTAGCCAAAAGTCAGTAATACTACTCTATTGATATCAAATTTTTAAAATATGGAAAGTTATCTTACTACAAAACTGAGTAAAGGGAGGAAGCGAGTTGAAGGAGATGATTTTCAAGATAAAATACTAAGAGTTTGGGGACAAAATAGATTGTGGAGAGATATAAGCAAATTTATAGAGGAAATAAATTTAGGGCCTTACCTATTCATTAAATTAAGTAGGAAAAAAAATTTATGCAAGTCCAAGAAGTTCTGATTAAGAAGCCTCATATAAAAGAAGGACTTTCATTTGTGGAAAATTCTGAGTGAGGTTTCTTGTTTGCTCTACCTTTTAAAATGCAATCTTCAACAGGAAGGTCTAGACATTTCATTGTTCCAAAGGTCCTTGCCAATAAGACGCATGAGTGTTCCTCACATACTCTGTTATTGCTAGGATCATACCTTGCTCAGCAGGTGAGGAAGCTATCTTGAGGTTTGTTGCCAAGGAAATAGAATTCATGAAGAGCTACTTAACTAGAAGCTGTAGATGGCCTCTACACCTATGACATGTTTCCTTGTGACAAAGTCAGAAGACACAGTAGCTGTGGGTCTTTAAGGTCATCCATACTTCCCCTCCCTTTCTATGCAAACTTTATTATACTTACCCCAAACGCCTGAAGTCTTCTTTTTTGCCACCATAATACAAAATATAATCATTTACAAACTTTGTATGCCTTTGATACTGAAATGCAAAAAGTTAAGGATTTTATTCACTTAAGAGTTGTTCTGTGTCATGATGCATTACTGAGTGAAAAAAGGTACAGTATGAACCTATTTAGCTTTTTAAAATATGCAAATGTATACATGCTTATACATATAAGAAAATCTAGGAGGCTATACATTAAACTGTTTAGAGTGACAAATGTGCAGTAAAAGGACTTTCACTTTTACTGAATACTTTTTCAAGAATATATGACTTGAAATGTAAAGTCAGGAATAATTTTTAAGCATGTATTATTCTTGAGATAAAATACATCATCATCAGGGAAGAAAAGATCTTCCTGTTCTATTCTTAGACTGCATACAAACTTATACCACCATTCACTCTAATAGTCATAATATGAAAAATAAAGAATACATGGCTCCTAAAATTAAAGAGTAGAATTTATCTTTCATTATAAAAGATAATTCAGCTATTTCAGTATGACAAAGCCTCTAAGTAGAAGATATAACTTTTACAATATTAAATCTTAAACATAAAGTTTTCAAAAAAAAGCAAATATAACAAATCAGACAATCCATACAATCATGTTTATTTTCAATGCAACATAACAAGATACCTATGCATTTTACTTCTTGTTTTAAAAAACTCAGTGGCACTGTCTCTACAGTCACACGTGCACAGAGTTGACCTCACCTTCTATGATACTGTCTGTGACTACAACCTATTATATTTAAGACACACACTGGGCACTGGTGGCTCACACCTGTAATCCTAGCAACCTGAGAGGGTGAGAAGGGGAGGATCGCAGTTTGAAGCCAGCCAGGGCAAAAAGTTAGCAAGATCCCACCTCAAAGGAAAAAAGCTAAGCATGGTAGTTGTCATTCAACCTACTGCAGAAGCATAAATAGAAAGATTGTGGTTCGGGCCATCCTGGGCAAAAAGCAAGACCCTAGCCTCAGAATAACCAGAGTGATAAGGGCTAGAGGTATGACTCAAGCAATAGTGCATCTGCCTAGCAAGTAGTGAAGCCCTAAGTTCAAACCCCAGTTCTATCAAAAAAAAAAAAAAAGATAATGATTTAATTGATCAAACTGGCTCAAATAGAATACATCATCAGAATATGACACTTCCAAAACTAGTAACAGAGCAGTTAAAGAGAGAGAAACAAACAGAGAGACAGATTAATTTCCAGAAATCCAATTTCAACAGATACCTGGAAACCTGGATTTAAGCTCTTGAATGACCACTAATTGGTCATGTGACCATTTACCTCCATGGAAGATGTATTTCTCCTTATTCCTGAATAAACAACAACTAATAACCTTGGACATTATAAATAAAATCAAGTATAAGAAGACTCTGAAAGGTGGGAAGAAGGTAGCCCACTAGGTAACCTCAGGTTGTACATTTCCTAGGGTTTTTTTTGTCTCATATGCCAGATGTGGAAGTGAAGGTGGCAACCTGGAAATGTCAACAGGCACAGACTGAAGCTGCCTCAACAAAACCCTGTTCTCTCTAACCAAACGACCAAGAGTCAGCCTAGTGAGGTAACTTTTAGACAGTCATTACTCTATTGTAGCCAAACACCCCAGAAAAAAACCTGTAGTCTCCTCTCCACCCATGCCATAAAAGGAGTACCTGGACTTTTACTCTTACCAGGCTTTAACTAGCACTCCAACTCCAACGTAGTCAAAGAAGGCAGAGCACATGTTCAAATGCTAAAGAAACAAGTGGCAGATGACAACATGGGAAAGCTATGCTATTGGTTTAGGAGGTAAGTGGAATAAATAAGTTAGGGATATAATAATACTTCTGTAACAAAGAAAAGAATTAGAATGATGACAAAATGAAACAGATGACTATAAGGAGGCATATTAAATAGACATTTTTCTTTCTCCTAATTCTGACCATTGTAATAATATCTGGAAATACTTCAGGTCTTGCTTGGCCTTTCTTCTCCAATATCCCAGCAGTGATATAAGGATGGCCAGAGTGGCAGTATGATGAGGCACAGTCTTGTTGAAAAACTGAGCTGAGACATAGCTACAACAGAGAAGCAAGTTATAGCTTATAGACAACCTCCAGTTATGACTGAGAATTAAAACCACAGCAGGCCTGGGAACAGTCTTCAGACAGGTCTAATTTTAAATACAAGTTTTACAGAGAACTTAAAACAACCAAGAACCAGGTAGAAAGATAATAAATTCAAATGAGACAAAAGATAAGTGTAGAAAAGGGAAATGTTGAAGCTGACAAAAACAAATTGGAAAAACTGTTGAAGATCCATGGATTTTTGTAAGCCTGTTTATAGACTATTGGCAATATGTTTCATTATTTTTGTCTCTAAATATTTCCTATATGTTAAGAGAATTACACCCAAAACTATAAATGGCAAAATTCTATATCAGTAAGTACTTATCTTTAAAAATAAAAAAGGCTTAAAGGCCTATATGACTTCATAACATTTTGTGATAGAAATAAAAATATGATATCTAAGCAGATTTTAAAATAGTCTATTAATTGTAAGTCTAGAAACATTAAAAAAGGATACAGCATCCATTGCTATGAGATGAAATCTTCTATTTCTTGCTTCTTCCCTGTTTAAAAAAATTATTTTAAGCAAATTCAAATGTTTATATCTAATTACTATAATCAAATCCCCTAGTCCAGGAGTTTATAAAACATCTTAAACCAAAGAATGTAATTTATATTGAAATACTATACCTATCCAGCAATTCTGCTGCAACTTGTTTATGGGCCACCTTTCCATGTTTTTCTTTCTGAAATGGTTTTTTGAGTAGCAAATCATCTTCAACTGCCCTGGTGTATTAAATAGAACAATTACTAAGAGTTAATTTTTCTCAAAGACTGTTTCCTAATTATATATTCATAACTGAGCATGCTATAAGGAATTCAAGTCTTAACTTAAAAAAGACTCACTGGCCTTTAGTGAGACATTTTACATCTCCTTAACTTTATTTAATACCTAAAGTAAAGAAAATGAAACTAACACCACCCAGATTCCTAGTTCAAACCCTGACTCAGTCAATTTACCACCTTAATCTTATTAGGATTAAGCTACTTATTTCTCTGTTTGCAAAGGAGGAATGTTAAGTATTTGATAATAAATAACATGGAAAAAGAAAGGTTGATTACAGAGAATATAGACCACAGATGATCAGCCCTAGTTCTGTAGATAAATACAATTTTAGAGCAGAGTATCTAACTAGATTGCTCAAATTCTATTCTAATAATTAAGATATGAAACATCATAAAATGCAATTTTTACTACTCTTTTGGATATTCATGAGGACTGATTATCTTACAAAAATGTTTAGTCCCAGTTAGTATGCCTCATATTTTGCTCTCATTGTGCAATAGTAAGTTTGATTAGTATGGATCAATCAACCATTCCTGAGTTAATGGATAAAATCATGTTTTTAAGCACAGTAAAGCTGAGAACAATGCCCCAAAGCACAGCAACTTGGCCAAAATGTATCCTCTTTCTGATACCCATACTTTATGCTGGCAGTTCTTATCCCTTCCAATTCAGTAAAGCCATCCAAGAGCTTCTTCCTCAACCTGCTCATTTTTATAAAAGTAAGAACTACCCTGCACTGCAATCTCATCCTCCAAACTCACCTCACATTGAAGGTAAATACTAGCAAGACAGCAGCAACATTTGCAAGCACACAGTCCTTGAACACATGAATGAAAAACACATGCAACAGAGAAATCTAAAACCTTTTTTTTCCTTTTCTTTCTCCCTTCCCTTTCAATAAACCCCCTTCACAACACAAACTTATTTTCTCACAACTGCTTCCAATTTTTATCAATTTATTACAGTTAAATGGATAAAAATTCACTCTCTACAGTGGTTATCTTCACATGCAAACATAATCCAAAAACTTTGAATATTTGTTTATACCTGATATCAATCTACAAGGGATATGAAAAACAAATCAATAAAAACCTACTTTTTTTTCTTGCTAGATTGTCCACCATGTTCATCGTCGCTAAAGTCTGAGTCATAGCCTCCATGACCATGCATCTACAAAGGAGTACAAAGTCAGCTATTTAGGCCCTACATTTCCAACCATTCAAGAGACAGAATAGTTAAAAAATAAGTAATCTTAAATAGCCACAAAAGCTTTAAAGAACCATAATAACCAAGTCAGTGATTATGGGTAATCCAATCAGCTAAAACTTTCAAGTCACTTTGAAATAGCAGATTAACCCTTCAGAAAATGTATTAACATTTTTCACCTTTAATTACTATTAGGAGAACAAGGGAGGTTTCTCTTTGGCCCTTCCGTTGAAAACCAAGCCCTGAAGGTACGAAGTGATTGCCTACAATGCTTCACTTTTTATTTGACATAGAGTAGTAAAAAGTTACTGTGTAGTCATGTACCTCATACCTCATAACTATCATTTTGGTCAATGACAGACCATATATATGGCAGTGGTCCCAAAAGATTATAATAGAGCTGAAAAATTCCTATTGCCTACTATTTTCTACTGTATTGTTTCTATGTTTAGATATGTTTGGGAACACAAATACCTACTACCTACAGTATTAAGTACAGCAACACACTGTACAGATTTGTAGCCTAGGAAGATACTCAGTCTTCAGGCTATCCCATACAGCCTAGGTATGTGGTACACTATACCATTTAGGTTTGTGAAAACACTACATGGCATTCCCATGATAACAAAATTGCCTACGGATGCATGTCTCCCAACCTGTGCCTCTCATTAAGTGATGCATAGCTGTTATCACCAAGTTGTCCCAGACATTGAAATGCTTATGATTCTGCAAGTTAGAAAACATTATTTCCATTTTAGGGATGAAAAAAATCAAGAACAAATGAAGTAAATCAATTTTTCAAAGCAAATAAGTGACTAAACTGATTGATTTTTGGTTGGCTGGGGTTTTTTTTTTTTGGTTGGTTGGTTGGTTTTTTGGTGGTACTGGGGTTTGAACTCAGGGCCTTAGTGCTTCCTAGGCAAGCATTCTAACTCTTGAGCCACACCTCCAGCCCTAAACTGATCAATTTTTAGCACACAATTTCAACTATTCCAAATTGCCTCTCTGGAATATGTTTAGCTATACACATTCTACCAGAATTACAGCATTCGTGGATGGTATACTATCAATTACTGAAAATTTCCTGCTTTTTCAACCTACAGAGAGTTCCTTTTCTTTTTTAAAATTTTTTTCAAGGTGAACTTCCTTATCCCTTGGTTTAAGTCAGTTTTATCCTGTTTCAATTCATTTTTGAATTGACATTCTTAGACATGCCTTAAAGATTTCTTTGGGCTGCTGGAATGGCTCAAGTAATAGAGCACCTGCTTTGCAAGCATGAGGCCCTGAGTTCAAATTCCACTACTGCCAAAAAAAAAAAAGACCTCAGTTGCCACTCAATTGTGTGGAAAGAAATTCCTGATTCCAGCACTACACTGAATTTGGGACACATGTTAATGGGTGATGGATGGATCATTTGACTATTTGATGATCAACAATTCACATGGCTGAAAAAAACCAGTCCAAGTCAAATGACATAAACTTTTTAAACTTTAATATTCATGATACCAAATGCAGCAGGAAATGGAAGAAATAACTCCCTAAACTTCACTCCATTGGACCTAAGACAGAAGATGTTTCTTGTCCTGACTACCTTAGGTCACTTCATCTCTTTGGGCTTCACCTGTTAAGTCAGCTACCAAATAATCTTTAAATTCTTTGAGTCAATGATATTTCTGTAATTTAGTTTTCAAACTTAAGTGTGTGAGTGTATACCTGTCTTCCCTGCTCCACTAAATTCTACAGAGATGAAGACCACAGCCAAGCTTGAAGACAAAGGTTAGAGGCCACAGTTCCAACCCTACTCTGGCTTCCATGGTTGCACGTCACACAAGCGGATTTCACACCCTTTCTAAGATCAAGTTGTCTTATCACATGTGAACTCCTACATCATCACTTTCTTCATATTTTGATGAGGTGATGGAGAAACAATGGTGAGAGCTTGACGATGTGTTCTAGAATCAGCCTACTGGAATTCAGCACTTGGCTCTGCAATTCATCTGTATTTGGGCATGTTCCTTAACCTCTCTGCGCCTCAGTTTTCCCGTTTACATAAATAAGGCTGAAAAGAGTACTGACCTCGAGGGATTAAATGAGCTACCACAGCCAAGTGGTTTTGGAACAGTGGTTGGTGCAGTAAACCCTCTAAATGTTTACTTACCATCGCCTTGTCCCCTGACCTGCGACACCACCCTTATTTCTCTGGCGGCGTCATCTATCCTGTACGCATCATAACTCTGGCTGTAATAAAAAGTCCTCACTTCAACTGACAAGGGCCGAGGAAATCTCAAGAACGCAGACGCCGGGGGTCTCCAGAATCTGTCACAACCTTCCTCCCCCAAATTACTAACATAAGGAACAAGTTTCGAGGTCCTTCCGGTGACACCAAACACACCCACCGCCCTCCCCTTCCGTTCCTCCCCACTCCGCCAAGTTCGCGCCGTGAGCCGTGCAGCTATAGCGACGACCCACGGCCTGGGCGGGCCGCTGCAGGACCGACCCCATCCTCCCCAGCCGCGCCACCTTGCCACCGCCACCGCCGACGCTGCCCGTTCCACGCCTCTCCCTACGGGTCCCTCCTAGGACCCGCTTCCGCCCCGACTAGGTCGTTTGTCACATCTAAAAGGCACCGTCCTCCGGGTGCGCTGACCTTGTGCTACAGTCAGAACGGCTCGGGGAGAGCTCGGGCAGGAGAAAAGTTCCGGTAAGGGAAAGCAAAGGCTCTCTGCTTTCCCTAAGCCTCAGCCCCTCATTTTTTTTTCTGGGCCTCCTACCGTTCCCTTCTGGGGAATCCAGCATGTAGTACCGAGTGACACTGCCCGAAGCTCAGCCCACGCCCTTCATTTGGAAATTTGTTTCGCCTGCCTGTCACCTGCGGTCCTCTCTAGTAACCTTAGTAACGCGTGCTCCGAGCATCCTCGACCAGCTTCCCAGATCAGATCAGCCTCTCCCGCTCCCCCAGTAAAACGGTTCTCATAATTAGAACAAAAATAACTTCCGTCGTGTCACCGCCCACACGATAGATACTGTTCCAAATGCAGTGCTGGCTGCAGAAGAGCTCATGGAATTTGTGAGGAAAGGAAGAATACGGAGGAGACATCTCACAGGGTCGCGGGTCCTCTGCCAACCAGGACCTGGCACGTGTGAAAGAGAATCCAAAATAGAATCTTCAAAAAAAAAAAAAAAACCTCAGGCAGGCAAGAAAATTAAACTATTCTAAGCTCTCTAGGTCCTTCCTGCGCTGCGCATTTCCGGCACCGTGACGTCCCACTCCACTTGGGTCACTGGGTTCGGGTCCCCTCTCTCCCCACCAGCGGTTATGATCGCTGCTTCTCCCTCATGCCCGACATGGTGCCTTGGAAATCGCAAGCGCTAATTAAGTATTTGTTGAATTGAACTGGCATGCCTCTGGCTTTTTGCAACGGGCCTTTTAGGAGAAAATGATGGTACTCAATGCACATCCGTTTTACATCATTTGCCCTAAACGGGAGATAATATCCATATCAGTCCAAAGCTCCTTTTAACCCTGACAGTAAATTAGAAATATATACTGATTTACCCTGTGCAGTGACTGTGATCTTGAAAAGCTATAAGGTAAGTTACATTATTGGTAATTCAATTATTCCAAAATGCATTGGATTATACATCAATAAAAACATTGGCTCAAAAAATTTAAAGCAATAGGAAACCTCACGATTTAATGTTATATTGAGTTATTTTGACAAGCAGCCCATTTTTGGTAAATGTCCAAAAACTATATACTTTGTTCTTGTATTTATTATTAATAAAACCAATTACATCTGTACCTTGACCAATTTCCTTTCTACAATATTTGACATCAATTGGCATTTTTCTTTAATTTCTAGAATCTTTTTGTCCTTCGCTTCATCTTACTCTTCTAACAATCCTGTGCTGCTGTTATAGCCCCATTATTTTACACATGAGGAAGAATGGCACAGAAATTAAAGCCACAAGCCTGGTGAGGGGTTAGAACTGAGCAGTACTTTGTCTGTATAAGATCCAGCTCTTTCCCTCACTTCATGGATTCTGTGAAAAGCAGCTTCTTATTCCAATGGTTCCAAGAATTTTAATATGTTGCTACCAGTTCATTCAAGCAAAGATTTCTATCTTTACCTTGAGGTAGTGGCTACTGAAAGATAGCAAATAGAAAATAGTTTAGGTGTTTTGCTCATATGCAGGATCTAGACTAATAATAATAATAATATGGACATGATTGTTAAAGGGGGACTGTTTTGGGCAAACCAATGAGGGGTGTGAGGGAAGGATATATTCTATGTCAAGTGCCTTAGTAAATGTCATGAATTTGTGGTTCCCAATCTGTATAATGTTATTTCAAATAATGTGAAAATATAAATGTGCATCAATGCTGTATAACTCAAAGCAGTAAAATACTGTAGTAGGTGAGGGAAATTTAGTGATATGGTGGTAATAATATCAAGTAATATCGTTCTTTTTCTTTTTTTTTTTTTGCATTAATAGGGTTTAAAGTCAGGGCTTCTGGCTTTCAAGACAGGAGCACCAACCACTACATGAGACATACCTCCAGCACCTAAGTAATGTTTTTAATATAAACCGTAAATGTGCATTTGGCTAATACTTTATATCTTTGAATATTTTTCCTTTCCTTTTCCTAAAATGGTTGCACAATATTTTCCATTAAACGTGCTATTCTTATATATGGTGCTTTTACTTTTCATGTAAGCGATATCTGTGGTCCTTGCCTTGAATCTGGGTGGGCATGTCAGTGACCATAGCAGAAGTAATGCTAAGAGACCACTAAAGTTAAGCTGCAAAAGATGATGGAGCCTCTGCCTGGCTTTTTTTTGTCTGTCTCCTTTCCTAACTGACATGGAGTAGAGCAGGGATGATCTGTCTCCACCAAGCCACACCCAGATTGCAGATTCATAAGCAAATTAAATGCTGTTTCAAGGACTAAGTTTTGGGGTGCTTTGTAATATACAACCAGGTAACCAAGGCCATTTTCTATCTCAGTCTCCAAGATATTTGATGATACCTCAGCCATACTGGGCTTGTTCCCTCAACAAACATGTCTCTTCAAGTTTACTATTCCCTCTACCTGGAATCCCTCCCTGATTGCCTGCATAACCCCTTCTTATCCTTCAAACCTCAGTTTAGATAAAGCAAACACCTTTCATGATCAAACTGTCCCACACACTGTGTAGGATTGCCATAACCCACACATATTACTTTCTGTAGCAATTAGTTACAGACACCCTGGCAATTTAGTCCATGTCTGTCTTTCTTCCTGACATATAAGTTCCACAAAGGTTGGGACCATGCCTGTCTTTTTCAGCCCTCAGTGCTCAGAACAATGCCAGACATACTGTTACATGCTGCTTTGAAGTGTTGCGGGCCGGTGTCAGGGTCCTTCCCTTTACAGGCCAGAGAACTGGCTTGTAAGGCAGCTGATGGACCTAAAAGCCAAAGCCAGTATATGAAGTAGGATTTAGTAGAGAGAAAGGAAAAGCTACACCTAGAGCATGCAGCGGAGCCCAGAAACCTGTAGCTCACTGCTCAAGTGAAGGCTGGAGTTTTTATGGACGTTTTAACTCTGGGTTTGGGTAAGGGTTAAGTGGGTTCTTTTCATTGGCCATGGATTCATAGGCTTTCTTAGATGAGCTGGTCTGTTTGCCCCTTATTGGGGGCGGAAAAACGATCTTGAGAGCATTTTGCTCATCAACCCTGTGGCAGATCTATCAGACCCTGTATCTCCTCTTCAGGATGCGGGAATGCAGATTTGTACCTCCTCAGGATGCAGGACTGATATTGCTCTCCACGGAGGATGGGATACTCACTCATCTGCCTTAGGTCTCCAGACCCAACAATACAATAGATATTCAAACTATTTATTGAACAAAGGAAGTGGGTACTGCTATACTCGTTTTGTGGATAAAGAAACAGATTTGGACAAATTAACTTCCCTGGAGAAAGTAAATGGGGACACAAATAAAACTGTCCGCAAAGCCCATGCTATTGTCTACCATCTATGTTGCCTTTCAATACGGCCTGTGGTAGTTTTTATACTTAGAAAGATCAGAAACTATTTTTATGGAGAAAAGTAATCAGATAAGTTGAGACAGAGGGACTAGTAAGAGGTAGAAAGGTTTTGTGAAGGATGTGGGGCATAAACTGAGATTTAATGTCATTTCCCTTTTCTTTTTTTTTGTCAGTACTGGGGTTTGAACTCAGTGCCTCAGGCTTGCTAGGCAGGCACTCTACCACGTGAGTCATACCTCCAGCCCATAAACTGAGATTTAAATGTAGATCTTAAATAAGGGGAAAGGAGCTGGGAAGACGAGAGAGTTGAGGCAGTGGAGTTTTAGGAACAGATTAGAGGGAGAAATATCCATGAGTTGTTTGGGGAAATATGAGTGATCACTCTAGCTGAAGCAAAAATTTTGGAGCAGAAAGGAAAGGTGAGAGGGGGAAGTTGCAATCAGACTTTGTGTGTTTCAAATGCTAGGCTGTGGCATTTGGTCTAGAGCTAGTGAGGAGTTGTAAAATATAGGGCGGTGTTTGGATAGATAGGAATTAAATAAATTTATATTTTTTGTCTCTGCTATTTGATAGCTATGCAACCTGAGCATGACTCAATTTTCTTTAATGTTTACTCTTCTTCTGCAAAATGAGAATAATAACAGTTAACTTTACAGTATCATTGTGAAAATCAATTTAGATGTTGTATTTGAAGGCTTTAGCCTAGTGCCTGGCACATAGTAAGGCTTAATAAATGTTCACTATTGCTTTTTTAAAGGAGGCAATGTATGTAGCATTTTAATAATATATTATCCTGTTAACAGGATACAGAAAGGCAGGAATGGCTGGAGGCAGGAGGGGCAGAGGGGAGGCTTCTCAGAACAGATGGCAGGAAGTGCTGGGAGTAAAGATGAGGAAATTAATTTAAGAGTGAGTTGAAGAAATAAATGGTAGAAGTTGTGACTCATTGGGTATAGGGGATGAAGGACACAGAAGTGAAAGATGCTTCCAAATCTGAAGAGACTGAAAGGACATGGAGGAGGTGACAAAAAAATGACATTGTCTTATAGAGATGATAAGTTGTCTTTGGAAGTGAATTTGAAACTATAGCAAAATATACAGAAGATTAAAATGACTCTTCCATGCAAAATTATGGTGTTTGCGTACTTCTTTGTTTTTCATCTGTTTATCTTTTTGTGGGTCCTTACTGTTCTCCAGCACAACTTATTGCTTTCCTCCCAATGGAAAGCTTCTCTGACCTGAAAGTCGATCTGACTTTCATTTATGTTGGGTTCCTACCACTCACTGGCTAGGAGACCCTGGGCAAGTTATTTCAATCTCTGATCCTTAATTTCCTCATTTAAAAAATAGGGTAATAATAGTAC